CTAAATGTATTTTCAGTATCTGTATCAGATGTCTTAAAATTTTTGACATTGTTTCTTAATAAAGGAGCTTCTTACGGCACCTTGAACTTATACAGATGCAATAGCTCAAATAGCAGGGTTAGATTTTAGGCTAAAAACATTCCCTAATGACATTCTTTTACAAAAATTTACTTATATGTTAGCAGCACTATTAGCGCTTAATATTGGATAAAGGGTACAGACGTTGGCTAGTATTGAAATCTCCAATATTAAGATATCTGACGATGGCGTCACCATTAAAATCAATAAGCAACTCAAATCGTCTGGTTTAAATATATTACAGTCAACTCTAGTTCTACCATTTGATAAGGCAGATCCTTCATTATGTGTGGCTAGGTGTTTAATGCAATATTTAAATAAAACGCAAAAATTAACAAAACCTTTTAAATATGCAAAACTTAACTCCATTAATAGATGGATAGGAGCAGTTGTCAAAAGTAGTGGTCTTCATACATTCATATTTACTGCCTATATTACACCTCATGCAGCCATATCCGCCGCGGCTCGTAAAGGAAGTAGTATGGATGTAATTAGGCTGGTGTCAGGATGTACTGAAAAGTCAAAAACATTTGCTATTTTCTATCAACGCCGATTGTTAAAAAAGTCGAATTTTGCCGAGGCTGTTCTGGGCTCCTAATCTCTAATTACTTTTTATATGTATTTCGGTTTCGGTTACAAAAGTAGCCTTTTGTTTATTGTTTCACAATCCTTTTGTTACCATGCTTTTGCGATACTTTCGTTTCTTCCAAGAATAAACGATGCATTTATAATTGTTGCAAATTTCTTTAAACATCTACAGTATACTTAATTATAAAGACGAGGCGTAATATAATTAACAGATTATACGAACTTACCTGTAGCGAAGTTCGATCTGAATTATATGAAGCCTCGTCGAAATAATTTAGTCCCTCCCGACCTAGGCATACTAGGTTGGCTTTAAAAAGAATGAGGTAAAACGTCGGGATGACGGGCCGATAGGAGCGGAAGTGGAAGGTACCGCAGTATACTTAATTATTTCGACGATGCTTCATAAAATTCAGATCGAACTTCACTACAGGTAAGTTCGTTTAATCTGCTAATTATATTAGCAAGTTAATGAACTTACCTAAAAGCTCCGGTATTCCCTTCCCTGCTATTCTGGGATAGAAACAGTAAAAGTCAAATCAGTCATTTGGTCAAGATTTAATAGGATTTTCTAGAATGTGGTAAATTCTCGTAGTCGTTATTAGCTTGCCTATACGACTTGAGGACTGCACGGTTTCTAAATGCCTGAAAACAAAGTTTTAGATTTAAAATGTATTTTATTAATATTGCTAAAATGTTTACTATAACATGATTCTGCAAAAATACACTATTTTAAACCCGTTTGAGTGTCACTGACTTGTTTCTTTAATGAATTATGAAAAAAATCAGTTAATAAAAAATTAGTGAAATTTGAGAAAGAAACAAATATAATCGTCAGAAGTGACATAACTTAAACAATTTGTACTTACCTTTTCTTATAAAATGACACAATTAAAAATATTGTAAATAAAGTTCAAACAATATTTCATCAAAATTATTGTAACTCTAAATAATCTTAAATCGATTTTCACTGCTTATCATAAAAAAACGTCAAAATTTAAAATAAAACACCTTTGAAAAGTCTTTACGCGCCTATTCCTGCTAAGATCAGAAATAAAATTAATAATGGAGCGCTTTTGCTGAAACTGTTTGCGTGCGTTTTGATCTTTAAAAATAACACTTTTCGACATCTAGCGGACAGTCTAAAAAGTTGATTTAATCCGTTTTTGTTGAAAAATAAAGCGTTTTTCCTTTATACGCTGATAGTCTTAGCTCAAAAATCGCATTTTTTGAGTTGTTTCACTTTTACAGCAAGGATGCGATATTCCCACAAAAAGAAATCCAGTGGTGTTAAGTCACATGAATGAGGGCACCATCCAACGAATCCGGCTCTACCGATCCTTTTATGTGTGTACTGATTATTTTATAATTCTCGAACTTCTCGATGGTAATGCGGAGGAGCTCTATCTTGCTGAAACTACATTTAGCAGGTCTCAATGTTATCAAGTTCTTGAAGAAGTTCAGATGAATCATTCTGCAAAGACTTTAAATATCTAGGCCCGTTAAATGGTTCGCGAAAAAAATATGGTCCAATAACGTTAAAGTGTTTTATTCCACACCACACATTAACTGGCCAATGGTTTTGGTTTAGCAATTCCCGTACACAGGCTGGATTAACTTTTAAATACCATTTGATGATGATTAACTGCACCATTATGAATAACGTTAGTTTCAAATATGAGTGATCTACCTTCAAAAGTAATGGCGCCATCGTATTTTTTTGCAAGTGTAAAAATAAGTATTTTTTTAGAAAAATTAAAATATTGGAAAAACTATTCAGTTTAGGTGTGTATTATATAATTAAAAAATTGAAGAATTTCAAAACTAATTCAAAACCAAATTTAAAAATAAAAAATATGTTTTATTCGTCACGCTTTGTTTCAAATACTCTGTAACTTTTGAAACCAATAAGATAATGAACTTTACTCTATAGTATGTAACATATTTTTAAAATTAAAATTAAACTTGAGGTCTACTTTTCAATTTTGATAAATAAATAAAAGGGATTTCAAAAAAACAGTATTCTTTTGAAATCCATTTTCCTCGAAAACTGTCCATCCTAACCATATCAATCAGATTGACCTTTTTCTTGTTAAAGCACTACACGTCTAAGATATAAGAAAAAAGTATAAAAGTCAACCTACATTGCAGTCTTATTAATTGTACCCCTCAAAAGTTCAGTCTGGCGAAAATTTGAGATTTATTATTTTAGGAACGAATTCAGCATGCTGAAGTTACTAAAACGCTATAATTTCAAAACCTTCTCTCACCCTGTTTTGGAAATCCCATTTTAGGTCGATTCCTTTTAGTTTCTGTGACCTCGTTAGGGCTTATTTTGGATGTATAATATGCTTTTATAGATCGGAACACTCTGTATAGTTATTTTTATTACTCCGCATATCACACACGCAATATCAGTTTGCGTTTCGACACTTATCTGCGATGAGAAAATAAGATACGCACGATCTTTTTCGGTAGTTAAAACCTCGTCATTGCAGTTTTGAAAAATATCCAACAACACTATAGCCAGGTGGTCAATAGCGCTCTCTCGATCTCATGTTGTCACCGCTTGACTTTGCGTTTGATATAGGACCCGTCCATGTATAATGAGGTTTATATAAAATAGAAAAAACTGTTTTGAGCACTACAAGATTGGCGGAAAAGTTTAATATGGTGAAGATTCAAGTTACGGCATTGTTACAAAAAAAAAGAAGTTAAAAATTTGTACCGAGAAGGCAGCAATTGTGATCAAAAAAGAAAGTGTGTAATGCCCAAAACAAGCACTTACCAAAATGAAGTTGTACAGAACTTTGGACTAACTGACTTCAAAGCTTCAAATAGATGGTTAACGAGATTTCATATTTTTGGATAATGCAATATCACATTCTAAAAGTGCACTTGACAATGTGAAACTTATTTGTCTTCCACCAAACAACACCTCACGTTAACAAACTTTAGACCAAGGTGTTATTCAGAATTATTAGATGCCCTACAGAAATTATATTTATCGTTATTCACTAGGCCAAATTGAAAAAAAAAACATTACCCTAACCAAAACTTTAATACGAATGTCAACAGCATGGCAAAATTTATCACCGACAACAATAAAGAAGTTCTTTTTTAAAGTTTGAGTTTGAGTGCAATATAGATATAGAGAACTTCTATAAAGAAGATCATCGCCGTTGTCCAACTGTTTTCTACCTAAAATAATACTATTTGCAACTGAAACAGTTTTAATTAATTGACGGCAATGTAGCCACAGAGAGGGTACTGCCAATTCTCATAATGAGGCTTAAAACCTGACATTACAGTATAAAATACTGCAAAGCTCTCCGAAGCTTGTGCAAGTGTGAGAGACTTGGAAACCTCTTTTCTTAATTTGAACAATTGTGATATGGCTACAGAAACAAATAAATTGTAATCAAAATATGAACCAGAATTTTATAAAAATCAATTAACTTGTGGGAGACAACTTTATTTTAAGGTATTCTTAGAACATACATACAGAGAAAAGTTCATTATCAAAAGTTATGGGAGAATTGTAAATACAAACGTTGCAAAGATTATTATTTATATATATATATATATATATATATATATATATATATATATATATATATATATATATATATATATATATATATATATATATATATATATATATATATATATATATATATATATATATATATATATGATGACCTTATATTCCGGTATATCATCCGTTCGCTCGTTGAACTCCGACTGGAATCCTGCAAATCCTGCATCCGACTGGAATCCTGCAGACGTTTCGCCAAAATCTCACTTGGCATCTTCAATGCTCGCGCTCCGAAAACACTTCGTATATATATATATATATATATATATATATATATATATATATATATATATATATATATATACACGTTACCAATAAAAGATAATTTTTGTAAATGTAACACTCAATTTTGAATTTTGTTGTGAATTTCTAATCTAAATCTAATAGTTTTTCCAATACTTCAATTTTTCTAAAAAAACACTAGTTTTCACATTTGCTAAAATATTACGAAAGCGCTATTATTTTTGACGATAGGTCGCATGGTGTTAAGAAGATAACGAATTATTTGGATCATTTTAAATCGATGGATTCTATGGAAAAAATCTTATAACAACTTCTTTTAAACTTATAAGGCAACCGATAACCGAGATACTCCAAAAAAGTACCAAAATGGGCTAGCCGGTACAGGGAGTGTTTGGTTAAGTTGTTACCAATATTTGATTCCACAAGGGTGACCGCTATCAAGGGATTCTACTGTATTTTATTGTTAGTACCATTGTCATATTGTTTTTTGCTTTAGTGTCTTGTATTCGAAGACGCACCGAATGGAATTGTTGGCGCAGCCGAAGCTGGAATGCAGAGCGTCATGGTCCCAGATCCTCAAGTCAACGCCGAGCTGAGAAAACAAGCTACCCTAGTGCTAAATTCGTTGACAGCATTCAAGCCAGAGTTATTCGGATTGCCCCGGTTTGAATAAAATCACAGATAATAGTACTTATTAAATTATATAAGGCGTTTCACGGTTGATGGTACCTTAGACGAATGGTACATTGGATTGTTCTGAAAATTTGGTTAGTTCGATCGATCTAAAATATTTTTGACCCTGCGACGTTAAAGTAGCACCAACATTGAAATTTTAAATTTAAAAGCATAAAGCATTTTCCGATCCGCTAATACTTTTTGATTTTTTTTGGAATAATACGTTCCTATATCTAGCTTCAGAGATATTCGAGAAAAACATAGGCTTCAATTAAATTTTTATTACTACACCACTGAAGCCAGTAGAAAGTTAAAAAATTTATACATAGCTTAGGGAGGTATTGAACAAAATTTCTTAATATAAACATTTGTTCTACATTATACAGGGTTGGTCAAAGCTAATGATTTACCGACCCGATACAAAAATGGTAAAAAGGTTTTTTTTTAATTGAACACTATGTATATTATCATATATTCTAAGAGCAAATTACATTCCCTTTCGCATGCCGCATCGTGTTCCTATACCTAAATCGTTTGGTTTCTGACATAAACCTAGTTTGTCTGAAAACTCGATTTCTTTCCCATAATTCACCTTTTAGGTGGCCATGAAATATCCGTCTTATGTCAAATAATTAATTTTTCGTTTGACAGTTTCATTGACATTATTGATTATGCTGTAAAGTTTATCGATAAAATCTTTTCGAAATGGAATGTTGTTTTAATGATTTTTTTTTATTATTCATGAACTATGCAACCATATTATAGTCAGAATACGCAGAAAATTTAATAAAACGAATCCTGATTTACACACATCAACACATTTGCCAGAATAAAAGCTTTAATAAACCATTTTACGACAAATATTTTTAAAAATGGCGTTAATGGCGTGTGATCAGGCAATTTTGCTGGCCAATCACACTACCCCATACGTGGAAGCCAATAGTCATGAAATAATTCGTGTGGCACTTCTTCAGGACCGTGACACACGGTGCTTCATCTTCCTGAAGGCTAAGATTCTCGAGAAAATTATTTACCACTCTTCTTAATATTTGAACATATTTTGCAGAATTCACTGGTTCATCGTGAATTAAAAAACTTACTTTATTAACTTTTAACAAGCAAATCTTTTAAACTTAATTTCCTTTGAAATTCGATTTGTAGCGCGAGGGTTAACAATAGGCCATAAGTTTTCATTCTTTCGATTGAAAATACTCTCTTCTGAAAATTTTGCTTCCTCAGGCATCTAAAATATGCCAAAATAATCTAATATTCAGAGAAACTTTTATTTCAGAAACCAAACAATTTAAGTTTGGGAATATAATATATCACTCTATCACTCACTTGAATTTATTCTAAGAATGATAATATACAGAGCGTTCCATTAAAAAAAAACTTTTCACAATTTTTGTATCTGGTAGGCAAATCACTAATTTAATTATTAAGAAATTCTGTTATGTCCAAAATTTTAACTTTCTACTGGCTCCAGTGTCGTAATAATGACAATTAAATGTAATTCGTAGAAAAAATGAAGAATATAATTATTTTCTTGAAAACCGCTGAAGATAGGTGTAGGAACGTATTATTCAAAATCTATCTTAAGTACTAGCGGAATGGAACACACAATTTAGATGGTGTTCTATAGAAAATGTCAATGTTGGTGCTACTTTTTCGTTAAAAATATTTTAGATCGATAGAGCATCGCTGCTTATAGAACTAACCAAATCTTCAGAACAATAAACCGTAAACGTTTAACAAAATAAATAAGAACTAAAAGTTCAGATTTTCACAAAATTTTATATTTTGACATGACAATTGTTTCGACAACACCGTTTCTTTATCAAATTTTATCAAACATTTAGTTCTTATTTATTTTGATAAATGGATTTTCATCAAGTAAAAGCCACCTCAGTTCAATTCGTAAACGTTTAAGGTACCATCAACCGTGTAACACCCGTTTATTGTTTATTAGAATATTGTAATGTATATAACTACTCAATATTATTTAAATACTAGTTGTTTCTATATTGTTTCATTGATAGCGTCGCCTTGTAAAACTTTTCTAAAAGGTTTCTTTTCGCTTTATATCAAAACCTAAAATGGAAGACCGCCTCCAAGAGGCCTTTTTGCTTTATCAAATGCATGCCCACAATACAATGACGACACCGTCTCCCTTTGGAGGTTGATGATCTAAATGATTAACGTAATCTTGGATGCTGCAGCTCCGAAAATGTCAGCAGATGTGCCACCAAACCATCTGCGAAGGTCTTGCAGCCATGAATTCTGGCATCTTCCAGCCGATCTCTTGCCTTCGATTTTAACAACTTAAACCTGTCGCCTTTTTTTGAATATTTCCTTTCTCTAATTGACTCCTGAGAACTCCTCTTTATGTCCAAGATAAACCTATGTTCTAAAGTCAAAATTAATTAAATTAATTTTTCTTGTTTTATTACTTACTTTTAATCATTTTAAAAATATAGGTACAAAAATTCGCCTAAGGGGTATTCGGTAATGAAAAATTACCTGGTGTAATCAACTCACTCACACTTTTTTAAAAATTATGTCATATTTTTTGTAAATTCTCAAATTCGATTTCTGATAAGACAGCGCCATTTTCTGGCATTTTCCAAGTAAAAAAGGTATTGCTCAATATCTGTACGTATTTTAAGCCGTTTTGGAGACCAAGTAATAGTCGATTATTTGTAATTAAAAATATTTCTTTCAAATGAACTCACTAATCGTTGTGAGTGACTACGGAAAAAGAAAGAGAACTTTTACCATTATCAGAAATCAAGCCGGTCATTCAAGAAGCAGACTTCTTCTGCTAATTTATGCGGAAAGTTGAAATTAAAATAATTAGCAAAAGCCAAAGGTAAGTCATCAGATAAGGGTAAAAGTAGCCTCGTTATTAAATACTAAATTTTGTTAACAAATCTTCATTTTGCTGATTTCGAACAAAGGCAGAAACATTTATTCTTGCTTGCAGATTAGGAAGCAGCAAATGCTGAACTGGTGTGAAATTATAGGGATAGACTTTTTGTTCCAAATACTGACGCAGAACTTGCTCTAGTAGCAGCACTTACCCGACGAACACTTATTTCTGGATCATCAACTACACGGACTAGGACTTTTTCCTTATCGAGTGCGATATTTTTTGAGATGGCAGGATAGACTCGATATTTGAAATGATTGCCCTTCTTGGCATAATACGTGGGGCAAGGACGAAGGTGAAACCTTTTGCCGTCTCAGAAAGTTGACGCGATGGTTTCACTAGTGTTGACGTCAGTTTTTCAAATTTTTGAATGTGATTCTGGGTAGAAGATAAACGAAGACTTTCAACTTTGTCATCAGTAATGTCTGAAAGGGTATCGAACTCGGATGGGGACAAGATAAAAGCAATTTCAAGATGTAGAAACAGCAGAGTCGTATTGATTTGATCAATTTCTTTACGAGTATAATGAATTTTTTCTCGAAGTAAGGCAAAACTAAATTTACGAAGAATTTTATAAGCAGATGCGGTTTTGACATGATGGGATATTGTGGGAAAATTAGGGATAACGATATGTTCTCTACAACGTAACAAAAAAGTTAGTGCACTGCACAGAGTAATTCAGCAGCAAGATTGATTTATAAACAACAGGCGCAGCAGCAATCCAGAAGATTTGTAAATAATATTGCAGTAGCCTGTGGAAGTCTCTTTGAAAGAAAATAATAAAAAAATATGCTAGTATGTTACGGACCATTTTGTATACATTTCAAAGGCTAGGTTAGGCTAGTTAAGACATGGCAGTATATTGTATGAAATATTTAGGTTGAAAACAAACAAAATTAGGTTCTATATTGCAAATAAGTACCTATACATTTTATTCACTTGATGGAAAATGAAATTATGATATTTTATATTAAACAGGAAAGCCAATTAAAATAAAAAAAATACATTCTTTTGAAACGCAATTTAATTCTTCCCTCCATTTAGGGAAACTTTACAAAATCGGTCTGTCACGTACACATTGCACTGTACGAAATGAAGTATCAAGGGTGACCGCAGATAAAGTATACGGGGCGTCCAAATAGTGCGTCAAAGTAATATATCTCTCGTTTATTATTTGTTTTAAAGAAAAATGTTAAATACAAAAGTTACACATGAGACTAAAAGCAGCAATTTAAAATTACTTTCAAATATACAGAGTGATTCATAAATATATGGGATGGATATATAAGCTTTTAGATATATTTTGTAAATTATGGCCTTAATAGATATTCCTGTTTATAACTAATCACCTACTGTAGGGTTCGCCATAAATGCCCTGTAATTTTATTGTCAACAATTTTATTTAAAATTATTGTCTCCAACTGGTCAGTTACTCGGTCACTGTTTCAATATAATTTTTAAAGGAAAAATAAGAAATAATACTAAATATTTGAAGCACCATGTTAAAACTGCTGGGTAATTTGGTATAAAAAGCAAAATAAGATATAACATTTAATTTTGATTTTAAATATCATATGGCATTTTAAATACTAAATAAGCGTTTTATTTGGTAAATTCTAGATAATTAGACGTCAATAACAACCCGCAAAATGGAAAATTTTTTCAATTTTTGGAACATTAATTTCTTTTATTCCTATTTTGGGTTAACATAAAGATATTGAGAAGTGCACTTTTCACTGGGTTGTTGACTATCTAATAAAAAACTCGATAAGCCTTTTCTACACGCCCCTACCACTATGCTTGTAGTGATAGAACAAACAGCATTAAACAAAAAAGATTTTTGAATTTTTCTCAGCTGTAAGCTAGTGCACAGTATAAATTTTAGTAGAAAATGAGTATTAAAATTTAAGATATCTAATAATTACGTCCCCTGGTCGCCATTACAGAAATTTGAAAATAATTTTAAATTTCTAAGTCGGAGTGGACAAGAGGACAAATAGATTTACAAGTGAAATATTCTTTCAATTCATTTTATATAGTTTCTGCTTGCAATGTCTGGCGTGTTTTTTTGTGCAAGTTACAGAAAAATACAAGAAAAGAATTAATAAAGCGTAAAGCGGTATTGTATGTGAAAAATAAGGAGATAAACTACCCACAGGATGAAGAAAAAAGGTATATGACAGTAAGTAGGTATAATTATTGTGATATTACGAGGTTAGCGCCAAAATTTCGGGGCCTGACATAGATGCAGCGCCAGCATCATGATAAAACTTTGTTTTCTTTTAAATATATATCTTAGTAGGCTGCGAACAAAAAATTGAAGTCTTGCTTCAAATAGTTTTTATTGACAGCATTTTAAACACGTGTCCGAAAAAATGTAGAAAATAACGCAAATGGAGTATAGAGCAGTCATAGTTTTTGACAAAAGAAGGGTTAGCACCTAAAATTATTAAAGAAAGGCTGGAAGGTGTGTACGGCCAAAGTTCTCTATATTTTGTAGTGAAAGAATGGGCAAAACGTTTTCGAATGGGGCAGGAGTCCCTTGCAGATGATTCAAGTACTGGTCGACCAGTGAAGGTCATAACGGAAGACATTGTTGCGATTGTGGAAGAGGTGGTATTGAGTGATCGACGTTTAAAGGTCAAGGAAATCTCAGAAGTTACTAAGCCTTCTGATACAAGTGTTCGTCGAATCCTGCTTAATCATTTAGGTATGCATAAGGTTAGTGCAAGATGGGTTCCTAAAAGCCTTTCGGCTATTCAAAAACAACGCCGTGTCGAGTGGGCGCGGTCTTTTTTGGAACTCTGTGGGTCAGAACTGAAGACTGTGATAGGTGTGATGGATTCCCGTCGTAAGGGTGAAGCACCTCCAAGAAAATTCAGAGTCTGCTAGTCAACAAAAAAGGTGACAGGTTAATAAAGAACACGTGTGGTCGTAGCGCAACCCGGTAACAAAGTACTTTTATTTTACATAGTTTCCTTAGATAATGTGATCCAAAAGTACAGCATAGTATAAAACAATTATAAAGCCATCACGGTATATGGGATTGATACAATAAGATCATGTGACATCCCCCTTTTTACAATAAAATTTTAAAAGTGTAACTTTCTACAAATAGAGTTTACAAGTCAAAATGTATGCTGAAAACATAATAAATAAGTTGGATACCAGATTCAGTTTAATGAACAATTCAAAGTAATGATTGCGCCACCTATTTAAAATCTTATTTAACTGATTTAATTTTATTGTTATCGGTACCTTATATCTAATATCACAATATTCTATCACTTTTATGGTCAATTTACATATATGGACAAAACTATAGACAGACAAATTCATAGCTGCAGTGATTTTATTTTAAATTTAAAAATGGTTTTTTGATTTTTGTAAAATCATTTAAAAGTGCTTAAGTTGATGTTATATACTAATTAATGTTAATTAGTAAAAGCTAAAGTTAAACCGTAAATTTATTACATTGACAAAATATAATTCCTTATATGTATAAAGACAAATTGAGTTTCATTTGGACCAACCGTGAAATTAAAATAATGATTTTACCTTGTGTGAGGTGAGTTTAAAGTTGATAAAAAAAAGAAGTTCTCACTTTATGTAAAGTGAGAGTACAAAAGTTGTATAAGCAATATATACATATATATATATATATATATATATATATATATATATATATATATATATATATATATATATATATATATATATATATATATATATATTTTAAGGCTCTGGACTAGTGTCCACGACATAGTCAGAGTTTCTGTGGAATTTTCACACTTCGTCCAGATCTAGTTCTATGACTAGTACTCTCCTCCCCTTCTTTGGAGTGTTTAAAGAAAAATTTAGTTTGCTTAGAAGTACTGGGTATGTCTGAGTTTAACAATAAATTATTTTCGTCAATTCCTTTATTTGTTAAACCAGCATCATCTAAAAGTTTTTTATTCTCTACATTTTCCAATAGATGGTTGTCAAAAGAGTTATTTACATTTTTTAGAGTTTTTTCTTTGTCATAGTTGGAATTTATAGAACTAGAATTTAAAAAAGAATTAGAACTACAGCTCACAAGACTGTCATTG